GGAATCGTGGAAATCGGGCGCCCGTTCTCGAGAACGCGATATTTAGGAGCGAGATGATGGCGATGAGCGAGAAAACGTTTTCAAAATTCGTCTTTGCGGGAGCAGAGATGGAAGATTTTTTTCCCGATGGGGAAATATCTTGAAGAGAAAGATATTGTTTCCACGCCGCTGATAGATAGAAGTTTTTATATTTCAAGTATTATTTAATACGATAGTTTTACGTGGGTATTTATATTAAATTTGTAAGTGAAATGTATAAAAGTGATACGATAAGAGATTGCGTAAATTACGGTATTGCTTCATATTGAAAGTAGATTATTTTTTAACAAATAATCTAGACGAACTGGTGTACGAGAAACATCATTCGTAAAAATAAATCTCAAGATACGCCAATTTTTCGAAATTCTTCGAAAATTTCGAATTGCAATAAACAAGATCTTCTCAAGCGACTAAATTTCCAATCAATCCGAAAAAAAATCGGAAAAAACGAAATAGTTCAGAAAGGAAGGAAAATTTGCATAAATCGAATCAGACGGTTTCACGTTCGAGAAACGCCACAAAATTGGTCGAATATGATGGAACCGGATGGATGGATCCAACGCGGAAATTACGTCTTCGTGGTAGATTGGGAACGTAATGGTGGAACGAGAAGATTCACACACGCGAAACATACGGGCGCTGCACGCAGCAGCCAATGGTGTCTTGGCAATTTGGGGCAGCTGGGAAAATTGAGCGGTAAAACGTGAACCGCCATGCGGAAACCGATCGAGACGGCGTCGATGCACCGTGTTATTTCGTACCGATCGACCAATCCGCGCCTTTCATTATTTCCACGCTCTCTTGGATCGCGATTAAACGCACAAAAGCCTCCCCATTCGACTTCCGATCTACGAGTGGAAACCGCTTCTTTATCGCGCGATTCGATGCGTTTTTCTTTTTTTTTTTTTTTTTATTACCGAGTGAGTAGTTTGATCGAGCGAGAAGAAGAGAATTTTTTAAAAGATATTTTTGATTATTGTCAAATTCATTCGAGGAAAATTAATAAACTTTAAATTTACTTTGCCTAGAAAGAAGTCACATTTTTTTGAAAGAGCGGCAACAACGAGGAACGAAAAAAGTTACGAGCAAAAAGGTGGCTTAAAGTACGAGCTATATCGTATTTCAACGATAAGGAAAAAAATTTTACGACACTTTGAGCAATACTCTCTCAAATGCTTTCTCAAATTTTACTAAGAATTACCAGGCCGTTGGGAAACTAAGACTCCGGCAGTCTTAAATTGACGATTTAGGAAGGAAAGATTTCGTCCCATTCGATTGTCTCTTGGACAAATGGATAATTTTCACGATTCGAAAGACAAACAGATTGCGCAACAGCGTTGCGCGACTCTCGTGCACGCTCGATTCTAGGGAATAATTTCTTTTTTTCTTTTTTTTTTCCCCCTCGATATCGATCAGGGTCGCGCGTTTGACAAATATAAGTGGCAACGCCGTTGTTGTACGGGTTAATTAAAGTTAGTGGTGGCGGTCAGTGATGACCAAGATGGCGGCGAACAACTTGGGAGCACATATTTCATTCGTCGGCGATTCGGTCGAAATGAAAGGCGGATGGAGAGAAAACAAGGAAATATGGAATTGAAGAATCTCTCTCTCTCTCTCTCTCTCTCTCTCCCCCCTTTCGTTCCGCATTTTTATTAAAAAGTTCGAAGCGGTGAGATTATATTGCGGGACATAAAATATTCCGGCGCATGAATGCGTCAGAGAGATTAATAAAGAACTTTCTTCCACTGCTGCGTTTACAATACTCGTCGGCCAACGAGACGCGTGCACCTGAATTTTTCCATCCGAATTAATATATCAGAATCGTCGGAATCCATTATTCAGGCGGAAATACGTCGAATTTTTGCTCGAATTATTTTTACCGGGTAAATCTCACGGGTAATCGAAACGCCTCAAGGTACCGTTCGCGATATTTAACAAATAGTTTAGTTTCCGCGGAAGCTAACCTCAACATTCCTCCCACATGAAAATTCATTCGCCTATTTCGCCCGGGATCGTTCGGGCAACAATACACAGCACACGCGTGCACACGCCGTTCGACGTTCCAATCTCGAATTATGCATTCGAGACAAAAACTCGCTTGCTGTTTAAAATTTCTAAACGCGGCCGGTCAAAACCACAATCCATTATTAAAACGTGACACAAATATCCGATTATAACACGCTTTATCAACTTTACAGAAGGAACAACGTGAATTCCACCAAATTGGGCGAATCGTTAATCGTTGGAGCTCGCTCGAGATCCCTTATTGATCACCCTCGATTCACTTTTTGCATTTACGCGATTGGACGAATTTTCCCACGACGAAGAGGAAATTCTCCTCGGAAGCGCCGAGGATCGTCGAGTTTGATCGAATTAATTTTTTTCGATGTAGGAGAAATTCGAAATTCTGTAATCGTATTTGGAAAATAACGCGGAAGCACCAGCATTGCCGAGACGCAACAACATCGGCGAGGAGAAGACTGACGAGAAGGTGAGTTCACTTGAAAATCGTCTGGCACGCGAGCACGATCGTCGCTTATCAGCGATCACGTAAAGCTCTTTATCGACACCGATATCGTTTTCACTTACGATAAAACCGTGCGATCATCGAATTGGAATTTGAGAAACATCGCGGGAAAACCTGTCGGATTAAGACCCTTTACGAGAGTGACATTATGCCGGCCACCGTGGAAATCGTGACACGATGGATCGAGGCTATCGACTGATAAATTTTATCCTTGCATCTGGCGTTATCGCGGTTAAGAAAATATTTCTCTTTGGGGAACGACACGCGTCGTTTTCGAATAATAAGAGGAAACGTTAAAACTAGCAGTAATTTTCCTCTAGAAAAAATACGGAAAAATTTTGAAACTCGGCTTAACCCGTTTATTTTTATAATTTTTAAATTGAAACAAAACTTGTGGAATAAAATCGAGCAATAAAAGTTGATACTGATAAGAAGCTCGACAAGATTTCTTTAAATCACTTTGGGACCGTTAACCTGACAACATAATAACCTATCTAGCGACAACTATGATTCGAACTCGTTTCGAAAAAAGTTATAAAACTTTCCCCGCTAATTTTCAAAAATAAATAAATAAATAAATAAATAAATTGCATTATCCAAGAAATTGTCTCGAGAACTGTCGACGGAGAAGAATACTGAATTTCCTATATATAAAACTTGGGAAACTCGGGGAAAGGGAGGAGAGAGAATCGAGGAAAGAGCTCAACCACCGAGTGGACGCTATTTCACATCCGACGGCCAGTGTCCGATCCAGCGTCGGTTCGATTTTCCTAGAGCAAGAACGGGCGAGAAAAGCAGCTAGAACACTAGATTCGAGGACGAGCAATGGATAGAAATGGATTCGGACGTTCCGATCGACGACGGAAGAATCGTGATCAATCCGTGGAACGTCCAACCGCGTGTCGATTCGTGCATCCCGATGGCGTGTCAATATTCGAGCACGGTATTCACGTAAAATGATAATTTCGGGTTGTCCCTCGCCTCTCGAGAGAATTTCTCCGGAACGGACCGCTCGAACACGGATCGGCGACACTTGCACGCGACGACTCGTTTTTTTTTTCTACCCCAAGAGGAACGACGTATCTCATCCGAGTTTCACTCGACCGTCCAAGTATCATACTCTCGCCTCGGCAAAGTATCTCTACGCGTATTTTCGATCTCTGATTCCTTTCCGTTCCACCTATAAAATCGTTCTACAATTTTTCTCTCTCTTTCTTTAATCGATCGAGTAAAATTACAATTTCAGGAAACGCGGGTATTCTCGTTCTTCGAGGATTTTCACCAAATTTTTTTCTCCCTCCCTCGCGCCAGAAGTCGAGAATAAAATTACACTTACGTAGGGAGAGAGGCCGATCCCTCGAGAGACACCCCTCGACCGTTACGATTTTGCCTACACACGACCCTGTGCCTCCACCTCGAGCATCCAAGTTGCTCAATTACAGCGAAGCCCGAGCTAAACAACAACAAAGTCCTATCCTCGTTCAAATCGGCCGTGCACGAATCGTATCCTACTCGACACCACGTCCTCCTGTTCCCGCTTTCCCAACCCGATTTAACCCGATCCGATGGGCCACTTTCACGAAATTCTATCGAGCACACCCTCTGCTCTGCTCTGCTCCATTACCCCTCGATAAAAGTATTTTTCTTAAGATTCGAAACCGGGTTGCATTTCCCGACACCGTTTGGAAAACTTATCTCGAGCATCGATCTCTTCGAATTGGTCGATCGAGATGGAGACTGGTCCATCTACCGACGGACGGGATTTCGGATTTCTCGAGTTCACGCGTGGCCTGATAATTGGCGAAACAACGCTTGATATCGACGATTAAGTTGACGCATGATCCACGTACAATCGTTTCAATTCACCTAAGGGTAAGGTGGAAAAGGTTTAAACCATCATCGAGCCACTTTTTCTATCGACGATGGTTTGGTTTATAACGATCATAATACGAAGAGACGACACGAAGCTTATCATAAGCAATTACGAATCACAAATATAAATATAAATATATATATATATGTACACACTCGTTATCATTTTCCAAATGATCGATACCTGCCATCATAACAATTATACGAGCAACAAGAAGCGACACCTATGCTCTATTACAGGGAAGAAGGAATCACACGTTAGTCAAATAAAAAGTAATTTAGAAACTTTCCAAGTATCAATCACTTCCCTATCAATTCCCCTAACAATTACAGAAGCAAGGAGGTAACATCTATCAACGGCCGGTTCACATATTACTCGGGTAAGGAACGAAGTTACCGTGATAAAGAGAGAGGAAGAGGGAGAGAGAGAGAGAGAGAGAAACTCGAAATCACTTTCCTACCAAATCCATTCGACACCTATGTAACCGCGCGCCTACGTCTCGACCCGAGAAATATTCGATTCCCTTATATCCCAAAGATCGTATAATCATCGATCACGTACCCTTGGCTGCGCCATGAACGCCCTGGCCGCGCCGGGGAACTCTGCGTGCTGAGCCACCGTAGCGGCTGTATTTTCCCACAGTATAAGCAAGTAACCTCGAACACTTCACACACACTGGTTTCCCCACTTTTCGATCCGCCTTATCGCGGCGATCGGTTTGCCCGTTTCCGTTTCTTTCGTCACACTCAGAGGACTCGCGGATTATTTCCTTTCGCCGAATATCACGGAGGATAAATCCACAAGGGGGGACGAGACGGATGCCGTCGGTTGCCGAACGTCCGTGTTCCAGTTCACACTTTTCCTTTTCTTTCTTCCAGAAATATTTTCCACGATATATTTGTATTTGTATTTGTATCTTATTATCCCTTTCTCCTTCGTCGAGGGATATTAACTTTAATTAAGGTTGAAGAACGACGAGAAGAATCGAGTTGCCGACACAGTCCCGACGGTCCCCTGCACCTCGATCGTTCCGCCACACTACTTCTGACGCTACGCGGATGGCTGCTCCGTCGGGTCCTTCGACGATCCCCGGATCCGAGTCGACCGGCGACACGCTGTTCGACGACGAGAAATCGAAGCGAGCGTCAGCACAGCTTGGCTCGCGCGGTTGAACGCTGCAGCAGGACCACGGCTACGGCCGGACACACGTGCTTCCTCATCGTCGGAAGTTCCGCTGTACGGATACCACCCAGAGAGCGTGCCTCTCCGTAACGTCAGTCTCGCGACATTATATATCGCTCGATTTCCTTTCCTATCCCTCCACTTCGTCTCTTCGTATCTCTTTCCGTTTTAATCCTTTCCCTCGATTTTTTCCGTTTCCTTTTCCCCCCCCGATCAGTTTTTCCAACGAATCTCTTCAAACTCGTCTTTCCCGGCTAACGTGATCTCTCTCGGTTGATAAGGCATTAAAAATGTAAATATACGAAAAATTGTAAGAGGGGGAGGGGAGGGGTTTCCCGACGGATAAGAGAAATCACGAAAATCGAGATGATTTTGTTTCCTTCGTTTTACGATTCGTCACCAAGATGTATACGTATTTATCACACGATCTTCGGTTATCACGGATACTATGATGCGCCGTAGCTGATGTCCACGGGTGGGTATCGGGTCCACGGGTGTATGTCGGGTTTGGCCGTCGGAGAAGAGAGATCCGAGGATGCACTGGATTATGTTATTTCACAGTAATAAACGGCACGGATAAACACCGGAAATATATGCGTATGTACGTCACTGTGGAGGACACGTTTATATCCTTCGATACAACACCGTCGATCATTGGCGCGAATTCAAGGCGTTGTTGCAGTTTCGGATAGATGCACTGGTGATGAGAAATCGATAAAATGGAGCACAAATGGATGGCGTTACTCGCGTGGACGAGGATCGCGCGCGTGATACACTGCGTGGCTTCGAAAGAACTTGGACGCGAGACACAACCGATATCTCGACGATGCTTTCAACAATTCGATGATCTCTCGATGAGAAGAGAACGGAGAAATAAAACGCGAGGTTCTCGTGCGTCGGGAAATCGCGTCAAAGTCCACTGTTGTTAAATCCGAAAATTCGTAGAATCGAAGATTCGTTCGTGGTCGCGTGTTCGCGCGACACGAACGAAAACTCAAGCCTCGAAAGTAGCTTCGATGTGTGTTCCACGATTTATCTCTTTTGTTTTCCTTTTCAATGTCGTCCCGTAGCGCGCCAAACAGATCTCCGTGGTTTACCGTTTAAATATACGACGATATAATAACACGATAGACACAACCGAGTTCAATTCGTATTTACCGATGATTCTCCACGCGACGAATGTGGAAAAGCGGTCGGATATCGCGTCGTAGACGGAGTCCGCGGCGGAAGAAGAAGCGCGTTCCTCCTCGCGGCGATTACTGAACGAACGAACCGGTCACGCAGAGGAGTGAGAGAAGAGGTGACGCGCGAGAGAGCTGTCCGCGAGACGGCGGCCGACCCTCCTCCCTAACCGTAACTACTACTGCGTGTGCCACTCGTAACTCCGGCGGACAGAAGGTGGAAGGTTGGTGTATATGTTGCGCGCGGGCCGGCGGGCAAAGGCAGCCACGGGAATATGCGTGTTTCGAGTTCTTCCCCCACGAAAAAGCACCGGGTACATCCACGGGTAAGAGAAGAGCGGAGCGAGCGAGCGTGGAGAGCAGCGCCTAGCGCGGTTTTAGATCCTGCGCCGTCCGCAGTCGTTCGCCAACTGTCAATCAGCGCCGCGCTACGCCAAGGAGTGGGAGGCGCGCAGTCACGCCCACCGAGCGCGGCCAATGCGTCCCCTGGCGCCGCCTACATCCCCACCACAGCGCCCCGACCGCAGCGCCGCGCCGGCGAGACCGCGAACCACGGGATTCTCCGCCATCGCTACACCACTACCAACGAGACCGCCGACGGACGACGACGAACGAGATCGACGAACACACGAGGACGAGCACGGCATCGTCGAGAATGCCTTGTTTCTTCGATTCCTACGTCTGGGTAAAGAGGAAATCCAGAATCGGTTCGACTCGACTTTCTACCACGCTCTCTGCTCCACGTCCAAGTTTCTATCTTTACCTAGGCGGATTCTCGTTACGCGTTCGATGTGAAGCTGTAGGACGGAACGAACGAAACGAACGATCGTATCGTTTTTCACTCGTGCCGGTGAAACCGACTACACAAGTGATAATTTTCCGTACCTCTTCGCGGTTTCGTTTTTAGAAATTGACCATTTACAACCCATGCAACGGTGCGCTTTTCAGAAGAAGAAACGTTTCTTCGATCTCGTATGATCTAACGACGAAAGTGTCGATGGATGGTATCGATTCGAATCATACAGTTTCGTTAAATACCTTCTTAAAAGTTACGGTATATTCCCATCGTGAAAGTCGAAGATCATTCGAAATTTTTCACGCGTGTTTGCCAAGGAGTGGAAAAACTCTGCGTATCGCGCCAGAAATAGTAAAATAGACGCGAGGTTCGCGCTTCTTGGCAAGAAGTTTCGTCGCTCTTGCTCGACGTCTTAAATAACGCAGTCGATGATCCTGACAAATAACGATGCTCGGTTAAATTCCGGCCGTCGGACAGACCCGTTGGAACGTGCTCGAAGATTCGACCAATTTATAGAATCGTATCGACGTTGTCATTCTCGACTCGTTGCCATATTTCATCGCTCGGCCAAAGGGGTGTTATACACAGGAGGGCAATCGGGGGTGGGAAAACACTCGACCGGCGTTAAACATCGTTTCGTTTTATCGCCACTTCTTTTTTCCTCTCCTATTCCTTTTTCCCTCTCTCGCTCTTCCCCCTCCCCCTCTCTTCCTTTTTCCTTTTTCCACCAGCTCCCTTTTTTTTTT